CCACACTTCCCCCTTTAATGTTCTCATGGCGGTCTCAACAACGTCCGCAGTAACACATAGGGCGCACCGCACTATAGGGCGCGCCGCACATTTTGAGGGGAAAAAAAGACGTTTATATATGCGCTTTATAGTCGTGAAAATACGGTATTTGACCTTTCAGACACATGATCAGTGCTTTTTGCTCCGTTGGTCACGAAACTCCTCCTCCTTGTGTCTGTGCAATCTTTATTAGTCGCCGCTGTCTGGTAGCCACAGCCTATGGCGACAGTGGGCTGCTGTGACAGCAAATCCCATAATGCTTTGTGAGGAGAGCTCTCCGCGCAAAGCATTCCAGGATAAATCTGCCTCTTCTGACGCCTTTTTTTCTTCTCATACACTTCATAGCCACTTTTTTTTCTTAAAACCATTTTCAAAGAACCGCAGTAAGAAAGTTGAGCTTCTATGACTGTCTGAAACCGTAGCTCACCACATATATAATCCTGAAAGTGTGCATGTGCAGAAAATGATAGCTAATGGGACGAGCACGTAGGACAGTTTTATGTAAAAACATCACCAGAATGATTGACAATTAGGAGGACCACTTATTTAGATGATCCACCCTGAAATAAAAGATAATCTTCTATACCTTTAAGTGACAAACTTTAACCAGAATTTTGTCTACATTTTTATTACATCACATTTGGTTAACCGATTCTATTTTTTGCGAAACAGTAAAAATGTATTCTTATTTCATTGACCTGATGTTAAAGGTCTGACATGTTTGAAAGAATGATCTTCTGCTCCTCAAACCAAATGCTCAGCTGTCCTCTCCTTTCAGACTGATTTCTTCACCAGGTTTTCTCTGTTTAGAGAAACACAGTCAGATGCCCAAAGGCAGCCTTGGTTTAGGAGAGAAGGAATTCAAATTTTGGTGCTTTGCTTTATGCTTAAATCCTTTTTGCTTCCCCTTCTGTAGGCATTGTGACGGTGATTGATGCCAAGTATGGGCTCCAGGTAAGTGGTGGAAATATCTCTCTTAATGTTCACAATTGAAAAACAAAATCTGGAATTATTTTGCTGTAGAGACAATATATATATATATATATATATATATACAGTTGCAGGATTTAATAAGGCGACCTGAACGTTTGTCCTTTCTACCATGGTACAGTTAGTAAAGCTGTGTCTGTCCAACCTCTCAGAGCCCCCCCCATCATTCTAGTGAACAAACACATCCTGCCTCCTTTGTGCTACTTAAAAGGAACAAGACAAGTGCCACCCAGATAATGGGCTCTAATTTAGAGGTGTCATGCTCAGTGAAGTGACGCATTTCATGGCATTTGAGCTGTTCTGTCCTCAGACTGTTGTGAAGTGAGATGAAGGAAATCCTGACAGAGAGAAGGAGGAAACCCAACACATGTTGACAGAGTAATTGATATCAGAGCAGCGACCATTGTTATTGCGCTGTCACCTCCTCTAATTTGCCTCTCGTGTCATTTAAAAAAAAAATCTACCTGTTCTATGAGTCAGACCATCTAAAGATGGTGCTTCTTTTACCAACGTAGTTATTAAATAACGTAAACATTTGTGTTAAACTAAAAATTATTAATTTAATGCCAAAAACTGTTGCATTATTTGTTTTGGTGTACATTCTGTTATCACGGTGCCCTGTGAATTTATTAACACTCCTTTACCTTGGGTGTGTTGAGCGGAGCTTGAGGTATTTTTTAGCTTTAAAAGGCTTTAAAACCATGAACCGTCATTTTTCAAATTCATAATTTTATACTACTTTAAGTTACTCTATCACATAAAACGGTGTTGAATTAAATGAAGTGTGTGGCTGTGGGCCAGATCATGAGTAAGTCGATCTTTTGGAAGGGACAGCAAAGTAGTTTTAAAAGGAGAATGTTTTGTTGAGATGCAGGTTTCAGCAGGATGGTTTCTTGTTTTCAGATGGTTTTAAAATATCTTCCTATATGGTAAAAACTATGCTTGTTATTATTATTTTTTTATTTTTTTTGTAGCAACTAAAAGAGGAAAAAGCAGATGGACTTGTCAATGAAGCAGCCAGGTATGGCAGCTTTTATGCTGCTCTTTTTTCACTTATTGTATCAAAAAACAGGCGAGTATCGTCTACATAAGATGACCCTATATACTTGCTGAATAGAGGTTTCTGAGTTTATTTTGATTTAATATCCTTAGACAGATCGCTCTTGCAGATCTTACCATTATCAATAAGACAGACCTGGTGGAGGAGGAGGAACTGAACCAAGTCCGAGACTCTGTCAGGTTCATAATAACTTCTCACAACCAATTCTCTGTCAGAGAGATGTTCATACTGCTGATGATCATAGTTTTTCTTCTTTACCCGTAGGTCTATAAATGGTCTTGTAAAGATTCTGGAAACTCAGAGATCAAGGTTAGTCCTTTTTTTTTTTCTAAACAGATGAAGGGTCATTCTTTAGGGTGGGGTTAAGTAGATGTTTCTCTGGTCTAGATCTCCTGCTGTGTTATCATAACTTCTGCTCAGATCTTTGTATCAAAGATAAAGCAGTTCAGACAAGGGGGACATGCACATAGGCAAACACAAACTACAGCGTCCTGAGTAAACATCGACTGCACGTTGGTGTTTGGTTACCCACAAGTCTGTGCTCTCTGACCCCGGAGCCAGCAGGATGGCTCGGTTTTTGAATGTGTATACCAGCCTGCAGAGGCCTAACACAAGCTGGTATAAATGAGAGGTCCGGGTTTGTGTCAAGGCTTTGCGCCGCCCTCCTGCAGAGCTCAGACCTGGGTGTAGGATGAAAGGCTGTGCAGTGTGAGGGTTAATTGAAACAACATTGTGAAAGCATTCATCGTTGGTTGCTTCACTTTATCTTTAAGGTTAGTTAAGGACCAGAGCTAAAATGTATTTAATCTTCTTTGCAGGGTGGATCTCTCTCAAGTGTTGGATTTGCATTCGTTTGACTGTAAGGATGGAGCAAAGTGAGTTGGTCACTTTTGTTTTATTCTAATGCACAGAGTTCTAGTCATTAATTAAAAAAAAAGCTGTAGCACTTTTTGAAATGTAAAAATTCACAAATACAGAGTCGCTGAGGTGTGCAAACACTATGTAAATATGTGAACTCTCAGCAAAAAAATAGACTTAGTCCCTGAAAACTCCAAATATGATGTTTTTGGTCTGATCTGATAAAAATTGCGTTGCATGGGGTCATGCTGTTTAGTGCTCATTTAGAGTCGATGGAGATGATCACACCCAACATCATTTTCTGCAGGCGACTTGCGTAGCTCAGATTGAGATAGACACCAGGGCTATTTTAGTCGCACTATGCAGCAATTTAGTGGAAATGTAATTGGTCTAAAAGGAAGACAGAAATAGTTGCATAGTAAAACACATCCGCTTTTGGTAAAATATAAAAAAAAATCTCACAATTCCTCACCTCCTTTCGGTGGTCAATGATACTACAGCTCTTAAGGTGCGAGTTATGCAAACAAAAATGGCGGCTCCCAAAACATTCAGGAACCTATGTGCGTCTTCCTCACAAATTTCACTGAGAGCATCATCCCAGGTCCCACCATGCTATTTTGATGCCATTTATTATTAACATCCTGAGAAGGAGTTTGTGTTGTGAACAGGTGAAGAGATCTGTGAATTACAAAGCCAGACACAGTGGAAAACCTGCAAAATGAGTCAGCTGACTGTAAATTGGAGATCATGCGGTTTGCTCATGTGCTCTTTGTCATCGGAGAACTGAAACACAACTGAACCATGCTGAGCCCTACTGTTAAACTAGTACTATATCTAGCGCGGTTCGGTTGTATCTTGCACAGCCCAGTTCAGTTGCATTCCATTTACACTCAACAGTTATCTCGGTTACCGTGCTCGGACCGCTCTCTGCACGGTTTCAAAAGGGTAGTCTATAGGCACATTTACACTACCCTCTGAAAACTGATCCATGACGATATTGTAATATGCAATTACCCTCCACTGCACTTTAATTTAGATAGCTTCTGTCCAAACTTTATTTATTCATTTTATAGTAAAATCCATCTGTATATATGCTATTGTACGTAACTGTAAAAACCCTCTTTATAGTAATATCCACCTGTATATTATATTCGGTACATATCCAGCTGTAAATTTAGTTCATAACACTAGTTATCTATATATTATATTCATCTATTAGCAAGATTCTGTTTATAATGGTATTCAGTTGAAACCCATGTCCTGTATTTATGGAACCATTAGTTATCCAGTACATGCTGCTATTGCACTTTTGGTTAGACCTAAACTGCATTTCGTTGCCTTGTTCCTGTACCTGTGTAATGACAATAAAGTTGAATCTAATCTAATCTATTGGATCAGTTAACTGTGCCGAGCTCAGTTCCTTAAGACCATTTATGCACCACTCTAGCACGGTTCCTCGCCTCCTAGTGACGATCTATGGTACTACTGCTCTCTAGAGGTAAAAGAGCAAACCAAAATGGCGGCGCCATGGCAACATTGCTGGCACGGTTCAGTTTTGCGTTTCATTTACACTCAACAGTTATCTCGGTTAGCGTGCTCGGATTGACCTTGGCCCGGTTTAAAAAGGGTAGTGAAATGGGTCTTTGGTCACTGAAATCTTATACCTGTGTGGACAGTAAAGGCCCACCCAACCCAGAAAATATGTTCACGGGAAGCATAGTTTAAATGTGCTTCATGTAACTGAAATGAAAACTACCCTCTGAATCCAGTCAGCCCTTTGCGAAACCTAAACCGAACACATATTGCAACTTTACAAATTTCTTAATATATTTCTTGATAGGGACCTGTGACCTGATACTCCAGATCTTATCTGAAGATCGCCAGTGTTGTTGTTGTTTTTTTTTTTTATAAAACTCAATGAAAGATGAATCTAATTTTTTTTTGTCGTTTAAATAGAGTAGCAAATAGTCAATCGATGTGACCTGATATTTTATCTAATAATCAAGTCTGCGTCTTTTCTTCAAGGTACTTGTAATTTGTGAGAATGTTTTAACTGCTAAGGAAAGCACAAAGTGTTTATATTAATTTCCTTTGCAATGTATGACATAATTTAGTGTTCTTCTTAAACTAGCAGAATAGAAATATTTATAGTCAGTTGTAAGCTTTTGTTACTACATTGTCTGAGTTGCCTTTGCAGCAGCCTTTGATGCTTCTCTCTAATTAACGGACTCCTTTTCTACTGATTGTCCCGCTGTCACACCACAGGATGGTCATCGTGTTGTATCCCCCAGCTGAATCTCATTCTCATGAATAGAATTGGTGTTCATCCCTTCATGTGAATGAACCGGCCGCCGTGTTAAAGTTGCCTTACGTGCCCCGAGTCAGTGTCTCTTGACCAGCTGCAGAGGATTAGAGCTGTGTGTGTCCACTGGCACCTAGTGAGCCCCCCTTGTCCCAACAGATAGCCTCTCTCCCCCTGCCTTTTGAGTTTTGGTCCCTCCTCATTTTCAGCCCCATGCTGGCCGTTTGAAGCGCCCCCCCCTGCAGCTCAGCCTGTGTGGTACTAACAGCACAGAGGGCTCAAGCAGCTGGATGCAACATTTAGCCTCCTTGTGAGGTCAGAGAGAACAGGGGTAATAGTTTGTTTGGGAGCTGTTCTCAGTATCCAAGAGGATTTAATTGCCATTTGTAAAGCATTCGCAGGTCCATTTAGGAATGTTATTAAGCATTGACACAGCTATGAGATTAAGTGCAATGGGTAAAGGTTTTTCTGTTAAGCAGAAAAGAAGAAAGAAGATTAAAAAGCAGGGTCTATAAAAAAAATAGATTACTTTCTTGCTTTGTTTAATTTTTATCTATAAAATGTTCAGTAATACTTATAGTATTTAGAGTAACCACCAGGCACTATAGCTTTAAAAAAAAACTAATTAAGGAAAACCTTCACTAAAACTGTGACATGAGTTGATAAAGAATTGCTTGCTTTTTTTTTCCTCTACCAAAACCTTCCTTTGAACTCTGTTAGTCCCGCCCACTACAATGGACCTATTACTAAATAAATGGGAGATCATCTTTTACAAAACTGCATTTATTTATTTATATGAATGTATTTATTGTAATTTATCATAAAATAATCTCAGACCAGTACTGGATGAAGAAACACAACACAGTTCAGAGTCTAAAGTATCAAAGCAGTGCACAGCTCAAATTAACGTCTAGGCATTAAACATATGAAAGTTGCATAAATAAACTAATTATTTGAATGTATGGCAGTTCTGCTATTAAAAAGTAAAGAGAGATAGACTCTTAGCAGCTCGGTTTGCTGATAGTTTGACATTACGCACCTTAAAAACTACAGTGCTACAAAAATATATATCTGCTTAACAAACAAATATGTTGTTTAAATTTATTAGGGCTGAAACAGTGATAAATCAATTATTAAAGTAATCATCCACTAATTTAGTAATCGATTAATCGTTAACTGGAGTTTGAAGACTCTAAAACATGCCTTTAGCCAACAGAGTAACCCAATTAGAGCAGTATTTATATCAAGAATGTAAAAGAAATATATAAAAAAAAATTAAGATTGTAAAAAACATTTTCCTCTGTCAATATGCTCTATATAAATCTGCTGAAGTAGAAAAGTTTTTGTTTCACCTGGTTTAATTTTGTGAAAAATCTGTTCTGACATTAAAGTTCTGACTATCTATTTATGAACTGCACCTCTGCTTGGCTTTCCTACAAGCCTGTTATGTTTCAAAAAGAACACTATACAAATACACAGAAACTGAAAAGTAATCCAAATGTGAGACTATGTTGAGTCGTTGGTGTATCTTTGGTCTATTTTAAGAGTCAGCGGGACAGGATGGATCAGACGACAAAGGCTGTGAATAAAAGAAACTGGTCTGTGAGCGCTTGCATTATGCACAGATGAACATGTCACAGTGTTTGCAGTTAATGAGGATACATTTGAAAAGAACAACTAAAGATTATGCAGATCTAAAAGTCCTAAAAACACAAGAAAACGCAGAATCCACCAAATGCATTCATGATGAATTTCTGAAAAGGATTTAAAAGGTAAAAAGTTTAAAACAAATATATTAAATATTTGAATAAAAACAAAATTCTTAAATTTCTGTTTGAAGAAACTCAATGGTGTCAAATATGTTGGTTAAATTACATTTTTTGGGGATTTTCTCTCCCTATTTTAGTCATTGTATATCAATTTCTTTAATTCAGTCCATCCATGCAGACATTTTTTTTTTTCTATTTGACAATACTCAAGCCAGAGAAAAATAAAAGCCATCATTATTTATTACTAAAGTTTGTTTTAGCACACATTTTGAGGATAATGATTCTACCAGTATATTAAAATAGCTGAATGAAACATGAAACTCATCAGGTCTGTTTATTTCTCTAATCTGAAAGGCTTTCTGAGAAGCTCCAGCATTTGAAACCTGCCAGACCACACCTAGACAAGGTTTGTATGCAGTCCTTCTTGGCTTTCCACATCTCTGAGGGAGTTTCCATGTTTTTTGCTTGCTAATTTATGTCAGCATATCATTTCCTGCTGGATGAGAGGGGGGTAGGTAAGGTTCGCACCTTGGGGCTCAAACAGAGCACTGCATTACCCCAGGGCTGCGACACCATAGTGAAATCTCCCGCCCTGCTTTACTGTTTTTGTGTTGTGATGAACCTGACGCTTTTGATGTTTTCGTGTCACATTACAAATAAAGCCAATTTGAGCTAAAAACAACCTAAACACAGAAGACCCTTTAAATTATGTCTAGACTGACTAGAATTTCCCAGCTTTAAGTGGGAAAGTTTAGTGCTTTGCAGAAATATTAAATGTTGTGTATTTTTGCAAGTTTGAAATGACAAAGTTCAACAATTATCAAATCAAGTGGATCTTTTTTTAATCGTCAGTTTTTCTTAGTGTCATTGGGCACTTTTCAGTTTTTACTGTAAGAAAAGAGAAAAACGAACTTGTATCCTTTTCCATTTTACAAATATGCATTAACTTGTGTTGATGTATCTCATCGAAATGTCAATAACATGTTTTTTTTGTTGTTGCCGTAACGTGAAAATATGTGCAAAGTCCAACTGGTTATTGAATAGTTTGCTGAAGTTGTCAGCAATTATTTGTCTTCAATAGCTGCATTGTTTAATTATTTTTCATGCGTCATTTCCACACCTGCTGACTCTCTGCTACAGACAGTTTGTGTTTTCATATCATGAACTTTTATCACAGGATGAGGACAGACGGGGGTTATTTGGGTGGGTAAATAACACCATTGTTTGTCTGTTTTCTCTCTGGTTCCCTTTCCCGCATGAAGCTCCACTGTCCCTCGGACCCCCCCTGACACATGACCACACCTCCACCGCCACTGCCACCATCACACTTCTCTTTACATGCAAATGAGAATGCCGTTTTTTTTTTTTCTTTTTCTGTTGTTATACCAAATGACAAGGAAGTGTTTAACCTTTGCAGTTCAACCCAAACCTCCCCCAAATATCAGCAAGGTGTCCTTTTAATGTGGTGAGGAAGCATCGAAGAGGGAGGGAGGGCTGGCTGTGTTTTGAGGGGGGGTAGAAAGAGTGAGACACCGCTGGGTTTTGGCTGCCCAAATGGGGCTGTGAGTTTTGACACGTTCATTGACAAATTCCTCAGCTGGGGCGTAAAAAATGCATCTTTTGTTCATCACTCCCAGTTAGTCACAGTAAACCGCAAACATCTTTTTTTTAAATACATGTTTTAGCTCTTTCACAAGGCATCGAATTAAGACATCCTTAACTTTTACAGTTTTGCTTTTCAGCAGTCAAATACAGTTGTGGCTACTTTGCACAGTCAAAGCTTTACATTTCATATGGAAATCTCCCAGTTGTCTCATTATGATTATATTTTCTAAAATAATGCAAATTACTATCAAGTAAATTTAATACCTTGTTGCTACTGGAAAGGTCATGTAATGCGAATATTTTCTGTCACCTCTAGAGTATTTTAACCGTAACGTTTGAGATATCTGGAGACCTCCATGAGGATGCCCTAAATGCCTTCATCCAAGTAAAGACACAATCTATAATTCTAGTCCCACTTGCCTTAGCTAATTAGCTTTGGTACCATAAAACTGTATTTTCCACTGTCACAGGATCTGCTTTGGGAGAAGAAGTTCTGTAACAAAGCAGGGGAACCCATGAGTGTCATCCGGTTGAAGGTACGTCAAAGCACAATAGTTCCCTGGTGGTTTTATTATCTGTTAACTAGATAAACGATTCCTTTGAGGCAGCTTAATGTTTTACTTGTGTGTTTTCAGGGCATAGTATCGTTTCCAGGTAAAGCCCACCAAGTGATGCTGCAGGGGGTCCATGAGCTATATGAGTTGAATGAGACTCCACAGCTTTGGGAGGAAAACCCACATACAAACAGGCTGGTCTTTATAGGTAGCGGAGCTGTCACACACACTCACAGATGTAAAAAGGTTTATTAACAGGATTGAATGCTTTTGTTTTAGACATTTATTTTGTGTATATAGTCTGCTTAGTCAAATCTGTTTTTCTTTGCTCTACATTACAGGCAGGAACCTGGACAAGGACATTCTACATGAGGTTTTCACGTCTACTGTTGTAAAGGATGGAGGAAAAAGTTAGTTTGAGGGTATTCTCTGAAGATCATTAGGGGACTGTGTGGTAGTAAAGGTTATGGAAGATCTAGAACTACATCTGTGACGGAGTCTAAACTACTCTACTGTGAAACGAAGAGTAAAGATAACTTTAACTTGTGATGATTCACCACAACCTGCTTTAAAAGAAAAATAGAGGACATTTAGAAAAGTTTCAATATATATATAAAAAAAAAACTCAAACGTGTGGTGAACGAATTATAGTTTCTAAAGGTGACTTTAAGTTTAACCTGCTTGTAATTACACTCTTTAGGGTTGCAGTAGTTTCTCAGACTTTCTCAACTCTGTATTTTTGAATGTATTTAAATAAAGTTTTCATCAAAATGTTGTGTTCTGTCACTTGTTCGCTTAAGCTTCATGACACCTCATAACCTTGCGTTGAAAATTCTGAAAAATTAGCAAGACAACACTATGCGTTAAAATGAGGGACTCACTATTGCATTGTATTCAATTGTAAAAAAGTCTTAAAGGAGATAAACATCTCACCTTCATTTTAAAATATCATAAATTGTCCCTTATGAATAGATGAATGACAGTAATTTTAACACAAAAATAAAATGTCAAATATATTTAAAAACAAATCAATTGCAGTAGTGAAATATTAGAAATGAATAAAAAAAATTTGCAAATGTGTAGAATTTTCTAAACGTATAAAAGTTTTAGCCATAAAAGACAAAAACTTTGTTTTTTTTTTTGATAAAACACAAAATGAGAGGGAAAATCAGTAAAACAATCTTATGTGTTAAGATCAAATAAAAAGACATTGGAGTAAAACGTGTTGAAGAAATTAAGGAATAAAATTTAGAGGTATAAGAGGTTGGGGAAAAAAAGCAATAAACACTGCTGTCAAATTTAGGGATACTCTGGTTCAAAGGTGTGGGCTGTAATAAACTGATAGATTGTAGCTTCCATGTAAGTAACAACAGGGGACCTAAGAGACCCAATGTGGACTGGTAAGGTAAAAGCAAATCAAATAAATTGGACTAAATTTATACGGTAAAACCATGGTTAAGAACATCTAAAACAGTTTCCTAGCTAATATAGAAGTCTAAATTTGACTTGTTAGGGCTGTGCAGATAAAAAAAATCTCCAAAACTGTTTTTAAGGAATGTAAATTGATCAAATATAACACTTGAAATATTTGTGTTCAGTGTCCAAAATTGTGATTTTCAAGTTTAAACATCCACATTATATATATATATATATATATATATATATATATATATATATATATATATATATATATATATATATATATAAGAAAGGATAAACTGGACTTGATTTGGTGGCATTATTCTGTGTGTCATCAGAGTGTAGCTATTAAAGTGCCATGTGTCTTTACCACCCTATAGTATATACAAATATTTAAAAGTGAGGGAACCTTAAATTCAGCCTTGCAGAGCTCCATGATGCAAATCAAAATGTTTGTTTTGATCAATGTTGCACTTATGGTCAATTAAACTTTTAAGCACTGCTGTTTCTAAAGGGATTATATTTATTTTACTTATGAAGTAGGGGTGTCTATCATGCAAGCCTTTTTTAACCAACTAAAGGCATGGATTCAGGATTTAAATCATGGTTTTTGTTAGGCACTCTAAAAATCTCATCCTCGTGCTCTTTGAAAGCTTTTATTGGTCGAGTCATGTGGCCCTTTTACACATAATAACAGGCAAAGTGGGAAATAGGTGGAGCTGTCCCTCTTTGATTATTTGCAATGTAGATGCTTTCGTTTTGTTTTGTGTTTTTTTAATGTATTTTTTTAGCAAGCATCCGCTGTCGGAGCGCTTTACTTTGAGGTTGGCCTCTCTGTGTTTTAGCTGAGGACGCAGTTTGTCCTTAAAACGCAGAGCGCATCACGCAGCTCAGCCGTTTCCTTCTCGATTCTCATGCTGATGGCCTCATTAAGAGCAACTATTGCTTCTCTTTCTCCATTGACTGCGGGGAGCTTAATCCCACGGCCATTTCCACGGCCACGCCACCCACAGTGCCATCCAAAGGTGTTAAACTAATCGCTTTGTTTCTTATCAAGTGTTGGGTGTGGGGTTGGAAATCCACCCAAAACACCCCCGTTTGAAAAAGCTACTGTATGAAATAAAAAAAAAAAACAAGATGCGACTTTAGTTCAAGACTCAATTTATTGCAGAGAAACTGCTCTGAAGCTTATAAAAAGTAGGAAATAATGTCATTTAACGCAGCATAGCACACAATTAATAAATAATGCAACCTTTTTTTAAATTTAGTTACTTTAACACAATTGTTTCATGTTAGAAAAATTGTGTTAAATAACTAAATATGATTAAGTTAATGCAAAAAACGGTTGGATTATTTTTTCTCAGTGTCCAAATGGGAGAAGTCTGCTATTTTCACTTAAATGCATTTTTTTAAAATGAAAATATACTCAAAAGATTCACAAATGACATTAATTAATCAGTAAATACATAAAAAAAAAAATGGCAGCCCTTCTCTTTATCATAACAAATAAAGGTGGAAAATAATTTCAGCAGAAAAAGCTTAATTTCAATTTTCAGTTGATATAAGGTTCACAAATATATAATGGTATATATAACCCAGTGGTAATGGCTCATGAAGACAATTTAAGAATGTCACTTTTTAAACTTTATTTTAGGATCAGATTTCATATTTTCACTGATAAAAAAAAAAAAACTATTCTATTTATGCTTCAGAAGTAGTTGTATTGAAAATATAAACAAAAAGTCTAGACCTTCCATAGAAAGCAGACCATTATCCGTTAAACCTTAATAAGAAGGGCTTTTCAGTGAAGCAACTAGATTATTGCTTCTTAACAAATTCTGCATTCATGCCTAATTTATGCCTATGCCTAATTAAAGATAGGTTAAGGTATCCTGACACATATTCCTGTACTTAACCTAAATTTAATTTGCACCATACTTCTGAATGGACTCTCTGAGGTTAAAAATGGGTTCTGCCAAATTAGAACCAGCCCTTGGTCCACATAAGGCATGGTGGTACCCAGAAGGTTTGTAAATATACCAAAAACTGTCCCAAAGAAGTATCTAAATAAACAAATACACCCCTCACCACCTACACACACATAAATTCAGAGCATATTCTTTTTAATAACAGTAAGACCTTGCTAAACTAAAAACACACCACTTTGTTTTATAAAATATTAGGTGTTTACTTTCTTTTGCTTTAGGGAAGCATAAAACAGCCATAATCAAACCAGATCATGTTTCCTCTTTATAAAAACATAGTTTGTGACTCCAGAGAATCACTCTAATACAAGGAAGTTTTTGAATAGGTTGTTTATACAAACAACAAGAGATCAAATATTTTTCTTTCCTGTTTCAAAGTTCTAACCTAATATTTCTCCTGCTCCCAGTGGTGACCCCCATCTGATCACCCTTTACAGCATTTGATGTGCCATTGTTTACATTTGTTTTAGTTTTTTCTGCTATTCCAATGCCTTCCCTACTAAAGGAAAAAAAAAAAGACTGTGAATCGGCCATTCCAGGGCTGAATGGGCTTTTCGCACCAAACAGCCCCCCCATCTAGAGGTGCCTCCTTGCAGCGAGGGGGCTCTGATAGGTCCGAGGGATTAATGGGACTGGCTTACAAGACAAAAGCATCCCTGTATATAAAAACCTAAGCGCTCACCACTGGAAAGAGTCTTATCTTTGGACCCGCTGTATGGCATAGGCGCTTTTACGCACGACGCTCAGTTCCGCTTGTCTTTGGCACTCATAGTTAAGGCGCGATCATGATTCTCTCCAGAGAATTTGAAGCGCCTCACCAAACTGCACTTTCTATGGATGAGAGTGAGATCGATATAGAAGGTGACGAAGACCCTAGCCACCCGCTGGTGTTCAGAAACCACTGCTCCACGGACGCTGGATCATCGGCAGAGTTTGACTCCTCAGAGGCCGACTCTTCTGGAGAAGGAGAGAGCAGCTTTTACGCGGACGATCCGACGCCCAGGAAGAGCCAGAGCAGCTCGGTAAAACCTCCCTACTCCTACATCGCCCTCATCACCATGGCCATCCTGCAGAGCCCGCTGAAGAAGCTGACGCTGAGCGGCATCTGTGACTTTATCAGCAACAAGTTCCCCTACTACAGGGAGAAGTTTCCCGCTTGGCAAAACTCCATCAGACACAACCTCTCTCTCAATGACTGTTTCATCAAGATCCCAAGGGAGCCTGGGAACCCGGGCAAAGGTAACTACTGGTCTCTGGACCCTGCGTCTGAGGACATGTTTGACAACGGCAGCTTCCTGCGCAGAAGAAAGCGGTTTAAGAGGAACCAGCCTGCATTCAGCAGAGACGGACTGTTTTACCCCAGCCTGAGCAGATACAGGCCGTACGGACAGTCGTTTTACGCACAAGGGCAGGTAAACTTTGTACCAGCTCCTCCTGTTCGGTACATATCCCTGCAGGATGGTACCATGATGCCCCCCTCTTCTTACCACCTTTCACCACATGTTTTTAACGCCCATGGGAAACTCACTGGGGCCAAAGACTCCAGGGCGCAGCCGTGCTTAACAGAGCCAAAGTTTGGTACGCACGCAAAGTTCTCATTTAGCATTGACAGCATAATGAGCAGGCCATCTTCCATCAGTAATCAGAAACCATACCCGCCTCATCCTCTTCACAGCAGACTTGGATTTGGTCATCAGATATCAAACCCGGCAGCCCATTTGGTACCAACCCTCCTGCATCCTTTGAAGGCTCCCCTCTGTCTCCCTGAAACGCTGAGCAGCCCACCTTTTACAAACGGGCATCTCATGCTCTCTTACACTCGGTGCTGAAGCTACCCGAGACATTATCACTTCTTTTTCTGTTTCTTAAAGAAATACTTTAACTGCATGACATTTATGTGCTTATTCTTGGAAATGTGTAGTAATATATCTGGGACAGGCAGATTCAAAACTGCTTATTTAATTTTTTTTCTACAAACTAATAAATGGTTGAAAAACATGTTTTTGATGTGTAATTATTTGGAAAGAAATATAGTAGATTAGGGAAAAAACACTTAAAATGTACTTAAAATGACAGTGACGGTATATTCAAGATTAAGGTTTACTGTGGTTATTATGGTTCTGAGATGGGCTTAACTTGGTTTATGTGGAAAAAAAGAGAAATAGATATGAAAAAAATATTTGGTTGAGGAGTTGCCATAAAACCCTTATTTATTTTTTCCACATCTATGAAAGGTTTGCAGCAAAGTAAGGATCAAGTGGAAATATTTTAGATTCACACAAATAAAATCTAAAGAAAAAAAAAAGACAACTTTAACAGAAGAAATATTAAAGTGCTTCTAACCCTGACTAATTGAACTTGTTAATGTAGGCACTGCTATGACTTTATGCCAAAGGTAGGCCAAGAATGAGAAAACAAAACCAGAATAATGAATATGTTTTACACTTTAAATTAATTGACCCTGGGCTGTAATAATTTAGAACAGATCCTCAGCAGCCCTATGGCAGCTTTTAACCCTGATATTTATTTGCATCATTTGAAAATAAGAGCGAAATTTATTTTTCTTAAATAAACCCTTATTAAATAATAATTTATTCATTCAAAAGAATAAATCTTTTTTTGTTTTGTCAGCAGAAAAAGAAAAGGTGTATTCCCTCTAATTCTCCACTGGGTGGCGCTGTGTTCCACACATTGGTGCATAAAAGTGAGCACGGGTGAATGTTGGTATGCAAGCTTCAGTAACTTTTCATCCCCCTTTGGATACACACTTTTGAGCACATATCAAACAGCCTGTTCCTCATTGATTATTCACTGAAATAAAACTCACAACAACAAGACTTTATTCTTTATATCCAAAGTGAGATCCATCAGACCCAGCATATTGTAAGGCTGAAAGCCTTGATTCTTCAACCCTTCCTATCTCTTTTCTTGCTAAAATCTACCGTACTTTTGAGTTACATCCTCAGGAAAAAGGCTGAGGTCTAGACTAGGTGAAAATATGTAATTTGTAAAACAAACAATAAACCACATTGACACTGACTTCTTTCTGTTGATCCTGGCTTTCTATCGTTCTGATCATTTGGAAGTCCTCCCAAGCATGTGTGACTAGAGTAACCTAACTGCAGTGCACCAACATATATCTAGTCTTAGAAAAATGATTAGACCACCTATTTTTTAAATTGTGTTCTTCATATATTATACATTTAGACCAAAAAATGAAAGAAATGGCTAATATTCTTTCCCATTATGTATATATTTTTTTATTGTATAATGTAAAATCTAGCATTTTAAATTAATATATATTCTTTTCTTCCTGATAGATTATCATTAGACTTGTAGTGTGGTTAAAATGGGAAATGCTTGCTTGATTCCTTTGTATAAAATAGGTGAAATTTTAAATGTCTATATGTATCAGTTAGCTGATAAATGTACATATTTTGTGTAAAAACAATATCATAACAATACCAGTCACAACTTCCCACCACAAAGGAGTACACAATAATAAAAAGTAAAAGATAGGGCAATAGAATCTATTATACACTTGACTGTATACATGTCAAGACATCTGTAATTGATGGAAAACAATCGCTTATTATGATGGTTGCTATGATGTTATTTGGTGCTAATTTAATACTATTTAATACTCAAT